TTTTTATAATAGTATTTTGTAAACTATACGTATTACTTCCAATACAATTTTGAATACAATTACCTATCTATCATTGGTTTAACCAAAAAAGAAGWGCCTGCCCGCCGATGGGTTATTTTTTAGGAACTACCAATGCCTGCTCAGTGTATACAGCTTACTGACAATCCTAAAGTTAATTACCTTCCATTTAAGAAATAGTTCATAGTTTTTAAATGAAGGGAATTACAATGGCGATCGATAGAACAACTAAAAATGCACTGGAATGCACTATGCAGAATTCAGTATTCAAGGTTTACTGAAATAGCTCAAATGACAAACTATATTGAACGGATTTTAAAAGGCTAATCCAAAAAGTCGTTTAAACCAATCTATCTGGCATACATTTATGAATAAAAGACTTTTCTATAGGACATAATATAGATCAACCTCATGGCTTTATAGCAGCAATGCTCTTTTTGTGACGTCAAGCAAATATTTTCACATTAAAAATTACATGCTATACTCAGAAGGGTCATGATGATATGATTGAAGAATGTTGGGGGGTTCCCCTTAGMAATTTCTGTGACATGGTTATCAACTCATAATCCTTGCATAATGGCTTTTAACGATCGAAAAACGTAGGAATTGTGCATACGACCAATAACAGTTAGTTTGCATCTCTTCCACGTATTTTTTAGCTCAAAATTCGCGAGAGCGCTTTACTGAATTCACAGAATTCAAGCGCCTGATACGAAATTGTAGACGGTAAATATTTGGTTTACTTCTTATCATGTTTCCTTGACAACCTTTCTTTACCACTGATACTTTAAGATTTTTTTTTCAGTTCTACAAATGGATGTAACCAATACCAATGCTATTATCATGTATTACCATTTGACTCGATCTGGTAAAAAGGAACAGACTATATATCTTCAGTATAGTTATATTTTTGAGTAGAAATCGGCTTTGCTACAGGCATAAGTACATTTTTATGTAGTTATTTTTCAGTGCTGGCAACCTTTGATTTGAATACATTGAACCTCGCCTTATATGGAAGGTGACTAACGTCATTAAATTCCATTAGGGTTTTCTATTTTGAGAGTGAGTGGTAATCCTCGAGCGCTACAGATCAACCAGTCAATATTTTGAGCTAGTCGTCGATTTAAGAAGCTGAATTTACTGGTATAGTTCACAAAGTTTTATCATGCCTACAGCTTATTACTCACGACAGTATCGAAGCGATCGTTTCAACGACAGCAACACAGATTGCTTAAGCGAAAATTGGACATCACACTCCAGGTCAAGAAAGCAGTTTTCAGGCGAAGGGACAATACGATCAAGTACTAAAAATGACTATGGAAGGCGCACATCCCACAAGATTAGAGAAACTTACTTTCTCGATGAAGAAGATGGGATACAACACTCGGGTAAGAAAGATACGGGTGGTTTTTTGGATGGCTTTTATTCCAAGGCCAGTCGTCAGCATTCAAACGAAGGCGTAGTACAAGCAAGGCCAAAAAAAGGTTATGGAAGTAATTATAATACATCTCAATCCGGAAAGAATTCGTTTGTAAAAGAAAACCGAATGCAGTACTCTAGCAGGAAAGTAATGGATGGATCAAAGAAAGGAGCTATACAGTCAAGAACCAAAAAGGGATATGGAGACAGTTCATGGCAACCAAAGAATGCCTTAGCAACTTCATCGTCCTCCCAATCACTGTTTTGTGATTATGGAGACAATGCATTTAACCGAACACAAGATACTTCACCAAAATCATCAGCAACAGCAACAGCAACAGCATCAGCATCATTAACTTATCATGCAAAACCAAGAAGACATGAAATAAAAACTAAAACAGACCATGAGAAATTGAAAGATACAAGCGCCTTCCGACCTGTTAACTACGGGAATGTAATCCATGAGCCAAAGCGACTGGCTGAGTTTAAGTGGCAGAAATTGGAAAATGCAACGGAAGAAGAAGAAAGACAGTTTTTGCTAAAGTACTTCAAAGAAGGCAAATTTCAAGACGTACCTGTGAATTGCGCAACAACGAATATAGGAGACCATCTGTTCTGCCCAGGATCACTTCTTGGAAAATCTTACGAGCACCATTTCGTGTGTGTTGGTGTCCACAGCGACGGGATCGAAGTGATCGAGTATGCCGGACAATACTCCAGTAAGGCAGCATCATCTTCCTCCTCAAATCCGCTGGCGTTTGCCAAAATCCAAAAACGATATAAAACGTTTCAAGAGCTAAAGGAAAAAAAGGTATCTAGTAGTTTTGGCTTGTATTTAGTAGTCTTGCTTGACAGTAAAGAAGAGGAGCAATTTCTGCACGTCTATAATAACTAAAGCCTTCACCGCAGGCAAGTCTATATGACTAACTTTAATTGCTCTAGACTACTGTACCCCAGATATAGAGTGAGAGAGAAAGGGCTATCCAGGGTCATTATATCTTCATTGGTATTGAATCCTTTCTTGGATTTATAAAAAAAGGCCATATCAGTCATGTTTATTTCAATGTACTCGTTATTGATTGTGCTATTTTGACTACAGACCAAAAAGCGACTTTGGCCAAAGGAACTGGAAAGATTTGATGACTATGAAGTTGTTTCACGTGCTGAAAACAGAATGAAGGAAGAAGGCAGATGGTATAATGTGCTTACCAACAACTGCGAGAGCTTTGTCAACTGGTGCAAGTGTGGTCTGAACGTTAGCTTGCAAGTGAAGCCACAATACAAGACCTCTTGGGAAGCTGTTAAAGCAGTGGGAAGCGGAGTCTTTCAGGTAGTTAAAGCCTTTGCAGCGAAAGAAGCCACTCCTTTCTTGGTCAAAGCAGCTGCCAACCTCTCCGACGACGCCGTTGGCTTAATTTTAGGTCCACTGTCTCCTATTGGATTTGCCATTGGTGGTCTGATTGAAACAGGTTAAGTTTTTATTTCTAGTTTGTTTGTCATTAACTTTCATTTTATTTCAAATAATTGATGTACATGCAAAATTGAGCACTGTTAAAACTTTTTTGAACAATCTAAAGTGTTGTACGTTATACTAATCCAATATCACTAACTATTGATATTTTTGCATATAACAGGTCTCGTTGTTAAAAACTTCTGCGAAGACCGCCAAAAGGTGAAGCAAAACATCATGACAGAACGCCAACTTAAAGTCAACACTGTCAAAAACTCAGCAAAAGCAATTGGCCGCTTTTCTCTTGGAACTGCAGGCGCGTTTATTGGTTCTGCACTTGGACCTGTTGGAACAATTGTTGGAGGTGTAGTTGGTGCAGTTGTAGGCCATTGTGGAGGAGCTGCAGTGGGCTGGTGCTACGAGAACGCTCCAAAAATAAAGCGGTCTATACAAGATAAGGTTATCTCACCAGTAAAGAGGTTTTTTAAATCTCTTTTTTCATAATTTCAACATTGTTATACTGGTATTCATAAACTATTACGTGGTACGTTAATGAAGATAGCCGTCAACATACCGTCATGTTAAATGCTAATGTTGAGAGCGAATCTCATTTTAGCAGTATAGATAGAACATGATTAGATATAAGAATACCAACAAGGCTATACTGTTAGCATAAAGTCATGTGATATGCTAATAATGAGGAGAGCGAATCTCACTTTAGCAGTATAGATAGAACATGATTAGATATAAGAATACCCACAAGGCTGTACTGTTAACATAATGTCATGTGATATGCTAATGAGGAGAGCGAATCTCACTTTAGCAACATAGATAAAACATGATTAGATATAAGAATACCCACAAGGCTGTACTGTTAACTTGAAGTCATGTGATATGCTAATGAGGAGAGCGAATCTCACTTTAGCAGTATAG